GTTGGATCTGAAGCAAGGGAGATGAGTTCTTTATTGTGATAGTCAGAGCGCTATACATCTTACCAAGAATCCAGTATATCATGCTAGAACGAAGCACATCGACGTCAAATATCATTTTATACGCTCGCTAGTTGAAGACGGAAAGTTACACTTAATGAAGATTTTAGGGAGTCAAAATCCGACGGACATGTTAACGAAGGCAGTCACCAGTGAGAAACTAGAGTTTTGCGCAACTTCAGTTGGCCTTCACGAGTAGAAGACGAAGGTAGAGCCACACTACGAGGATCGGCGAGATCGCCGGGATATTGTTGATTGAAAAAAAGATTTTTCCGGGGAGGAGAAGATACATGCGAAGAAAGGGAGAGTTCGGGTGAACTCACTGATGGCACTTTGGTTTCCAAGTGGGAGATTGTTAGTCTAAAGTGTAGACCTAAAGTTGAAGTCGAAGCTGAAATTTCGAAGAACACAGTCCAAAAAGTCCAGGAGAATTGCCAATCAGCCTGGCGATCGACCGCGAGTCAGCGACGATCGGCCGCGAACGTGCACAGGAGTCAGGGAGAGGCTGGAGCTGAAGGCGGTCGACCGCGCCAACCCTGTAATGTTTTCTGCTCTCGGGTTTTGGTTCGGTCGACCGCCGCGGTCGACCGCGATACCTGCGCGGTCGACCGCCACTGTCGATCGCGACGCTGTTTGCCAGATTCCTTATGAGTTCAGGAAATCTGTTTGGGCTGGGTTTGATATAAATACCCAAACGTTTTTAGGATTTGTTAGGCATCAGAAAACCATCAAAAGAGAGAGCTTTTGACAGAGAGATCTCAGAGAGATAAAACCCTAGTTTGAGAGCTTGTATTTATAAAACTCTAGTTTGAGAGCTTGTATTTCTTCTTCAATCAATAAAAGAATTGTGTGGTGTGGTTCCCGAGGACGTAGGCACGTAAGCACGTTGCCGAAGCTCGTTAAATCTGTGTGTTTGTCTTCTTTATTATTCCTGCAAGTTTTGATCTTTATTTATGGTGAATTTTCCTACTTTCCTACTTTCAACATAAGGTCTGGAAGGGCAAGAGTTCGATTTGATTGTTTCGGATCCCCAACAGAGTTGTGGGTGCTGTCTCAGTGATAACAACTACAGTAAAGTTGTTGAATGTCTCAATGGTACCACTACTAATATGAGTGGCTTGAGCGTGCGTACATTTTCTCGAGTGAAGTATCGGAGTTTTAACTGCTAGTCGATTGAGAGTTTTGGAGCTTAGATTTAGAGATGAGTTCTAGTTTTTATGGGCTTGGGATGTCAGGAAAATTAAAGCTAGCTGAAGTAAAGTGTTGGATTGTATAGAACTCTTTCACATTTTGGTTTTTTTCTGTAAATAGTGTTAAGTCTTGGCTTTCTGAAGAACGTTTTAAGTTAATATTTATAATGTTGTGAGATGTCACAACCGAAAAACTTAAAAATATATATAGGCTTTTTGATGTCTTGAATTGCAATTGAAATTCCAATCAGTTTTAATATTTTGAGTGTTTGCCCTTGTGTGGCCGGGTATATAAAACCTTCTTATTGTAATTCGGAGGTTTAAATAAAAAAAAATTAAGACCTGGATACTCCCATTCTTATTTTTTATTTCTTTTCTTCATCTCAGTGGAAGAGAGATCAAACTATGATGAATATAACTATAGTATAGTTTCATTTTACTTCTTCATCTCAGTGGAAGAGAGATCAAGTGACATTGCTTCATGTCAAATGCTAGATATAAGAAATTTTTGTTAGATATTTTGTTAAGAAAAGACAATTTTGCCTTCATGAATAGTAATAAAATTTTTATAATTAAACCATGTCTTAATTAGCAATTATTTATATGTGTAACGGCTATATAATTATGGGGAACGTTACAAAATTTATGACGAACGTTACGGAATTAATTACGGGTTTTGTAACGTCTTTTCCAACCCTATATATATATCCGTATGTTGAGCTCAAAATGATAAGGAAAAATATACAACAAGTTTCTCTTGTTTTTCTTCTCTCCCCTACATATTGTATTCATCTACATCTTAGTTTTATTTTATGGGCAACTTCCTTTATCTGAGCTGAAGCTCTGCACTCTCGCCTGAGTGCAGAGGCCGGCCGTTTCCGGGGGCTTTTACTGCTAGGGGGGAGGGAACCATCTGCGCCAGGGCGATAGGCGGGTTATCAATCTTCTAGGGCAATGAATACACGACTGCTCCCAATCAGGTCAGTTTTAATTGTTTATTTTTTTTCGGATTTATCTGCATGCTATAATCTTAATTATTTGATAAATTTCCAACAATCTAGAAGAGATTGACCTTAATATCTGAACATTTCAAACTAATGTGGAACTAAAAATTCTGCAGTTATGCATATACACATACATGAATGAAATTAATAATAGATACAAGAGTAAAAACCTTGTAATTAATCATGATACGAAAAGTTCAAAGCCGAAAGCTACCTCTCCCGAATTCACGATACGAAAGGTTGCCCAACCTATATTTGTTTTATGATTTCTTGATTTATTTATTAATTTCTGAGTCTTCAGTCAATATTGCCTTTTGGGGGGACTGTTAGATATTTTGTTAAGAAAAGACAATTTTGCCTTCATGAATAGTAATAAAAATTTTATAATTAAACCATGTCTTAATTAGCAATTATTTATATGTGTAACGGCTATATAATTATGGGGAACGTTACAAAATTTATGACGAACGTTACGGAATTAATTACGGGTTTTGTAACGTCTTTTCCAACCCTATATATATATCTGTATGTTGAGCTCAAAATGATAAGGAACAAAGAGTTATGTGCAAGAATATGCAATATAAACAATGAGATATATCCTAGATGATGAATTATATATATATGCAAGGATATATAAACTAACACAAGGGGTAAACAATATGAACTAGATAGTGGATCGTATAAATAATGAGACAATGGCGAAATGAGCAATGAGCATAAATAAGAATAAACGCCAAAGCACATTCAAACACACAATATGATCACGGCAGTGAATACACGACTGCTCCCAATCAGGCCAGTTTTAATTGTTTATTTTTTTTCGGATTTATCTGCATGCTATAATCTTAATTATTTGATAAATTTCCAACAATTTTCACAAATCAAAAGATCGAAATAGTAACCTTTTGAAACATAGTTAGGCTTAATTAAGTAGCTATAAGAAATTTCTAAACATTTGTTTGCGTAGGTTGGACGCTAAAAGTTCACATTAGTTAATGGGTTTACTAGATTTTGTTACGAGGCCAAGATTCGGTTCTAGTTTTCTTTGTAGTTCCCTCCTACGTGCGTTGAATAAGAATTCAAGAAACCTCTCTTCATCATGCATTAAGAGCTTAGCCATTATTGTGCAATAGATTATACACACAGCTTGATGAAGATGAGATTTTTTTTTTTGGACTTAAAACAAATCTTTCTTCAGCTGTACTTAGTTGAGTGCTTCCGCTATATTTTATGCGGGTGTAATCTGTAGTCATGATTCTTCCTTGTTATAGAGTTTAGGATCTAGAGATGAAGTGTGTTCCTTTCTCTGAACCACTAGAACTTTTGGCTCCTTGGGTTTTCGGAAATGAACCAAGACAGTTTAGAATTCACAATATATATATATATATATATACACACACACACATAAATAAAAGCATTCAACCAATACAATCAGCCAAATGAAATCACATGAAGTAGACAAAATCTCTATTACTCCCAAATATACACAAATACAAAATACATAATTCAAAATAAAACAAGAATGGCTTAGTCCATCCAGTCAATGAAGTAATTAAATTTCTCTGGAGAATGTCCTCTTGGGATAAGCCCAAACATCTTAAGTCCACAAACATCCTAATAATATCATCCTGTGATAAACCCTGAGCTAAACCTTGAGCACTAGAAGAAGAAATGTGAGTATTTGAAGCAGGACGAGTAGAAGACGATATATCAGTAGTAGGCTAAGAAATTGGAGCAACACGAGTAAAAGATGTTGGACCGGTAGAAGGAGGAGTGGAAGCATGACGAGCGCTCTGAGAATTAACCTATAAAGTAATAGCAATATATGAGTGTATACATAGTATATAAGTAAGTGTGTATATGTATGAGTGTTAATTTTATGTGTATTCGTATGTGTGTATGAGTATTAAGTGTATGTGTATGTGCGTATGTCAATGTAGATGTGTATGCGAGTGTGTGGATATATTAGCATACGTACCATCTAGCTATTAAGCCAATGCATCTCAGCCCTAAAAGCTCCTCCCTAAGTTGGTCCATCTTAGCTACCCGAGACGTAAGATCAACCACCTCGCAATGTAGCTCTTGATTAAAAGTGTCGATTTTTAGTATGGATGACACCATTGAATAAGACCTGATGGCACCAATGCCCACTCATAACCACCGTGATGCCCTCCGTGCAGGGAATCTAACATCTTGGTGAAAGAGAGTGGATCGTCCTCTGTGCTGCAATCAAACCCTGATGAGGTCGCCTTCTTGATGACCCGATTTTTACACCTTGCAAAGTATTCAAATATAAGTCAACAATGCAAATATAGATATATTTAAGGAAATTTCATTCCTAAACAATGAAAAATGACGGGAAAAACATAAACAAAAATGACATAAAAACTCTATGTGTTGGATGTTTAAAAATTTACCTGAAATATCCATCTAAAAGATAAAAAATGATGTTTGTATGCAACAATTTTTTTTTTTGCTGCGAAAAAAATGCTTTCTAAACAAGAAATTAGAACAAATAGAAAGAGTAAATCTTAAATAGAACAGAAGTTTCTGTTACCACATACATACTTTATGTATTGTCCAAAGTATGTGCAAGGCATTCAAACTTTTTTTTTGTAGGTATAGAAGTAAAAATATGTAATAAGAGAGAACATGAAAAAGCCGTTCTCTCTAAATATTCGTTATCAAAGAAAAACTAAATAATGGAAAAAAAAAAGAATCAAACGTGAAAAATAAGCGTGACGCGTTATTAAGAAAACTACAAGGGCTAATACGTAAAAATCTCCTCTCCCTACATTTCTCGACAGAAGATCATTTCCTTCTTCTGATCCGCCGAGGAGAAGAAGGGTTCGGATTCTTGCTTCCTGCTCCAAATTCAACTGATTTATTGATTCTAGGTTTTCTTCTCGATCTCTTTTTTTTATTAATTATATTTGTTAACAAGGTTAGGGCTTTGCTCGTTGGATGAGGGCGTGTGAATTGGATCTGGTTGACTCCGTAATTTCCTACATTATCGTTGTTCTTAGATCTGCTCATATCTATTATTTCATTTTCTTTTTGGGTATTTTTAATAGAATATTCAACTATTTTCCCACACGAAATCTATTCTTTTTCCCCCATTTATTGATGGAAATCACGATGTGTTTTTCAAAATGGGATTGTTTCCGATCTGCCATTAGACTGTGGACCAACAACCAATCTATAATTTTGTCAAATTCACCGTGGATACTTTTCAAGTAGAAAATACTTGGGCAATGATGTTGTTTTTCCCTTTCGGTTTGATAATTTTTTTTTATTCCCCTGATTTGATAATCTACTTGGATAATTGATCTTTGCTCTTCTTCGGTTACCCACAAAAGTAGAGGTTCAAGATGGCAAAGGCTACTGGTAATGATGCGCAAGCGCTGATCCATTCTCTGCGTACCGCTTACGCTGCCACGCCAACCAATCTCAAGGTTTAGTTGATGTGAAGCATACGAAACATGTCTACTTTAGTATAGTCTCTTCTCTTTTATCGTCAACATTATCATAAGAATCTGAAAACTGGCTTTTCCATTGTTTTTTTTTGCAGATTATTGACCTCTATGTGGTTTTTGCCATCTTCACGGCGTTAATTCAGGTTTGATTATACATAGATCTGGTTCGGATGTAATTATGATCAGTTGACATCTTTCTGATAATGTTATCTATCAAACAAGTGGCTCGAACACTCAAATGCCACGTGCTAAACTGATATTTATTATACTTAGCCCATTGAAATCCAAGACGAAAAGGAAGAAAATCCAGTGGATATGCTGATAGTATAGGAAATTATTGTTTAACAGGTAACTTTTTGCTATCTACCGAGTACAGACTTTATGTTGTCTTTCATTTAGGGATCTAGCAATGCAACATTGTCGCGAATGGGGCAGTAATGTCCTCTGGTGTTTGTTGAGTGTTAGCATTTTCGGTTGTTACTTGTCTTTAATAACCAGAATTTAACTAAAATAACAGCTGTTAGGGATCACTTTAACAAAGGAAAGTGGCTTCCGTATTGAGATGTACTTTGTGTGCTGTTGAGTTCCTATTCTGTTTTCTATCTGTTTCCATCAGGACACTGACTGAATTCTCCATTCCAAGTTGTTTTTCCAATTACCATTGAGCAGATGGTTGTATTCTTCTTTTCTTTTACTCCCTCCCTGACCTATTTATTTTGGCTGAAATATAGCACTTTCGCCTTCCGGATTCTAGTATATTTTGCTTCAATCTAGCTGAAAATTGAATCCATTTTCATGTTTGGGTTGCTAATGGATTTGAAACATGTAACATTTAATATTTAATCACTATAAGCTTCTAGCTAAATATTTTTAGTCAATTATTCACCAAACCATGAATATAACCACTCCAATCTTCTTTAATTTCTCTGGTGGTTTTGGATTTAACAATTAATTGTTTTTAAAAATCTGAGCAGTATTGTAGTCGTTCCTAAGGGCCTGTTTGGTTTGCGACATAAATAAATTGCAACAAATGTTTCTGCAGCAGATATTGCATGCAACCTAAGTTGCATGGAAACGGGCACGGGTACTGGTACTGGTGCGGGTGCGGGTGCGGGTGCGGGTACGGGACATGACAAAACTGTAAAATGTAGGGTACGGGGACACGACTACATATATATATTGAATTAATACTGTACATAAGGTTGCTAATGGATTTGAAACATGTAACATTTAATATTTAATCACTATAAGCTTCTAGCTAAATATTTTTAGTCAATTATTCACCAAACCATGAATATAACCACTCCAATCTTCTTTAATTTCTCTGGTGGTTTTGGATTTAACAATTAATTGTTTTTAAAAATCTGAGCAGTATTGTAGTCGTTCCTAAGGGCCTGTTTGGTTTGCGACATAAATAAATTGCAACAAATGTTTCTGCAGCAGATATTGCATGCAACCTAAGTTGCATGGAAACGGGCACGGGTACTGGTACGGGTGTGGGTACGGGACACGGCAAAACTGTAAAATGTAGGGTACGGGGACACGACTACATATATATATTGAATTAATACTGTACATAAGATAATTTTTTCCCCTTAAGATAATTTTTTCCCCTTCATGTGTCATTGGAATTAAAATTCCGATCATAATTTTGAGTTTCTTTTATCATATTGATTATCGTGAATTGTAAACTACTCATTTTCTTTACTAGACATCTAAACGACCCATTAACTATATAGTTTTAAACTTGGGTATGGACTGAAACGAATCCGACCCGTATCTCATTAGTTTCAAAAGACGGATGTGAAGTGTAAGCTCTACGTCCAGAAAGTCTTTGACAAGTGTTTTAAATTAACACATATATCGTATAATTGAGTACATGTTGTAATAAATGCATGCATATATTCAAGAAGTGTCCATGAAATATGGATACGGGAAAGTGTCGAGTACGTGTCCGGTACGGGTACGACTTCATTATAGAAGTACCCAGGTAACATAGCATGCAACATTTGTTGCAAGAAATCAATTTGAAATTTGCTGTTTGGATATCTATAGTTGTATTATAGGAAATGCATTTCCAATGCAAACTTAGTGTCCAATGCAAACTTAGTGTTTGGTTGAAAAGCATTTAATGTACATAATTTTGCCATATATGAAAACTTGATGTAGACGATTTTGGGTTTGGATGTAAAAAATTTTAATTCGATGAGGTGGAATTATTTTATTTTTTAATTTCATTTTTTTTAAGCTGGCAACTTTTTCTCCCTCCAAATTGGCTGTAGCATTTGTTGCAAGTTTTTTCTATAAAATGCAAGTCCATTTATCTTTCCTAATTACAAAGCAAACAATGTATTTACAAATCCGGGTATTCTATTTACTTTTGCAACACTATTTCCATCCAACCAAGCAACCCCTAAGTGCATCATACATCAGTGTTGTCTTCTATAAAAAGAGGATTGTGTAGAGAATGACTTGGAGTGGGGGAAGTCTCAATGAAGTATTGGACTTTTAGGTTTACAACATGTTGTCAATACATCAAATTTCTATGAATTGAACAGGATCAGGCCCTCCAAGTACAACCTTAAGTCTAGTTGGCAGGCAATCCAACCAAAATTTCTTGCTAACAACTTACACCTAATGCAATCAAGGGGTACTCCTAGTTTTATAAGATTCAAAAACAGTGTAGATGAGAGTTATGTTGTTGGGATCGGCTTTAGAGAACTGTAGTTTTCAACGTGTAGATTTGGATTTGCTTTAAGGAAATGTAATTTTCTTGAGTCGTAATCTAGGCAAAAGAGTGAAATGAAATAGCTTATCATTATTTGACAATCATTCACTTTAAAATTAGAGAAAAGAGGATGATAAAGATTCTAGTCACATTCTAATTTCTCCTCTATTGCTTTTGCAGAATCAAAGAGACTCACTTCATAATGACCGTTCACCAAATTACAATTTCTATACACTATTAATCTACTGTATTAAATCAATGGTGGAAACTGTTATCAGAATACCAGCAATACAAGTTTGCAATTATAGCTATTAAATGAAATATTTTATATAAAAAAAGGAGCATCTGTAATCTTATAGGTAATAGCATAAGAGGATAAGGTTTGAAATGAAAGTTTTGGTTCTCCAAATGCTTGTGCAAAGGTACGGTCACATGATACTCTCTTACAAAGACAGTTTTGTCAATGATGTTTGTAGTTTTTAATATCAAGCAGGAAAAACTACTGAAATACAATATCTGTTAACTGTATATCAAGAGTTTTTCAAATAATTTTCATTAACTATGTTCGTTCTGCTCTCAGGTGGTATACATGGGCATAGTTGGATCTTTCCCATTCAACTCTTTCCTTTCGGGCGTACTTTCCTGTGTTGGTACTGCAGTTCTTGCAGGTAAAAAATTGATAAGAAAATAATCCTCTCATTTCATATGATACTGTCCCACTTATTACATGTTTCTTTTTTGCTTCTATGGACTTGCAGTTTGTCTTCGCATCCAAGTCAACAAAGACAACAAGGAATTCAAGGTAATTACTAAATCAACTTATCCAGAAAACATCGTATTGCCTGTGAGCTGCACTTCTTTTTATTAACAAATCCACCCTCTTGTTGCAGGACTTGCCACCGGAGCGAGCTTTTGCCGATTTTGTTCTCTGCAATCTGGTTCTCCACCTTGTGATCATGAACTTCCTCGGATAGAACTACATTATTATCAGTAGGAAAACGTCGACGAGTGTCTCTTTTCAATGAGTTTGTCTAAGATGTCATGATAATAGCAGAAACGCCATAGTCCTATGTTTGAAGACCGCAGCAATATGTATTAGGTCTTATCAGTTTTCGGATATGTCCATTTATAGTACTCTCATAATCATATACCTAGTTGAAGATTGTACTTTTGCCTCTCTCATTTCTCAGGATCTCGACTTATCTTTAATCATTTTGATGGTCGTGTGTCTTGATGAATGGTGTATTCAACTTGAACTCGAGATTGAAGTTCTTATTTATTTATGATGTCTGATATTGTGCGGGAACTAAGTATGCAGGCTTGAGGATGTTTCGGTCTCTTTGGAGATTCTTTCCCTTTTAACGTTTTTGAAGAGCTCAGTTAGTTAAGGAAGCTGATTATTATTGTGGAATTGATTTGGATAATAGGCATATCCGCCAAGTCCGCCCCATGGGTTCTTTTCTTCACCGGTGGCATCAGGTTCCCGGCTCATCCTTACATGTGGGGACCTCAGGTGCTCTTCATTTGTATCGTTTTTTGTGTTTTTGTCATGCTTTATGCTAAACACTGAGAGTTTACACTAGCAACTTTTAGTTTGGAATGAGCTAACAGATGACTTGGAGAGAGCTTGATTTTTAGAGTAACAGTGGGTTCAGTTTGTTTCTTGGAACTAGGGGTGCTAAACCGTATCCGAGGAAATATCCGTAACGGATACGGATATGGTTACTCAAATCTATAACCGATAGGATATGGTTACAAGTATGGTTTTGTAGTGAAATATCCGTATCCGAAATGTCCGAATGCACATTAGTCATATTCATACGATAGTTTCGATTCTTAAATTATGGATTTGTGGTTAATTTTGATAATCAAGATGTCTAATCTTAGCTTTTTAGCTATAATGAACATATTAAGGATCTCTTTCGTTTCACATGAACTATGTTTATCTCAATATTATCTAGTTTTCTCATATTCGTTTTGTATCCGCATGCATATTCGCTTATATATCCGCATCTATATCCGTAACCGTATCCGATTTT